AACAAAACTGAGCGCAAGAAGCGTGGTCAGTGCGGACTGGCAGGGGAAGAGGACAACTAAAACAATTTCATAATTAAAAGCTAACAAAAATTACTTAACATCTAATTTCCTCTCTTCTGATGTGAAATACCCGGTCCATCCCCTGTTCTTCCTAAAGGCAGATGAGCACGGACATGGGAGAAGCTGAAATCTGTGGCAAACCCACAAGCTGCTCTCAAACCAGGGGACCTGGCCAGGTTCAGCATTCAGAGACCATCTTGGACAGTCAATTCGACCAAAAGACTGCACACCAGAGCCAATTTTTCGTGATTTTTGTTGATCTAAAAGGAAGTCAGCAGTGTAAATAACCAAATTTGGGAGTAAATAACAGCATTTGGACAAATGCATTTATACGAAGCTCCCTACCTTTCCTTTCAGAGCAGCCTTCCCGATCCCACACCAACGCCACGGGATCATTTCGCATCCCTGATGGCACGTGAAAAAGACCCGCTGGTATGTGGCGAAACCGCAACAGCAACTGCCATGTTCAAGGAGGGTAATGAAAAGAGATTTCTCCATCCTGGTCTCGGAGGGTTTCAGAAAAACCCGAGAAGGACGACAGAGTGGTGCAGTGACTCCGTGGCAATCACCGCGCCCTGTCACAATGACGCAAGGTACAGTCCTCCGGAGGAGACTGAGGGCCACACGGCAATTACCTCGGAGCCAGGCACCGCGCAGCTGTGCAGTTACTGCAAAGTCGCCATCGCCTTTCCATCACCAAAACGCCTGTGCTGTGATCACCTGCGCTGCAGGTATCCTGTCAGTAAGGTCGCAAGTTGGGGTCGTCTTCGTAAACCGGAGGGGCACATGGAAGTTACCGACACAGCTGCTGCCTCTTCAGAAAATGATGTACAACGTTAAATAAACAACCCCCAAATCACAGCTGACATGTTCTATTGTGAGTACTCAAGACTGCATTTTAACCTCGATGTAACACCAGTGAAATTAACAGTGAAATCAATATGAAGGAATAAATACATAGAATAGAACAGACTATTTCAGTTGGAAGGGACCTACAACAATCATCTAGTCCAACTGCCTGACCACTTCAGGGCTGACCTGACGTTAAAGCACCCCATCTCTGGATCCCAGGGAGAAGAGCTCAGCACCTCCCTCCCCACTTCCCCCCAACCCCAGCAAGCTGCAGAGAGCAATGAGGTTGCCCCTCAGCCTCCTTTGCTCCACACTAGACAAGCCCAAGGTCCTCAGCTGCTCCTCACAGGCCATGCCTTCCAGCCCTTCCACCAGCCTGGCTGCCCTCCTCTGGAGGCACTCAAGGACCTTCACATCCTTCTCAAATGGTGGGGCCCAGAATTGCACACAGCACTCGAGGTGAGACCACATCAACGCTGAATACAGTGGGATAATCACCACTTTTGGCAGGCTGGTTGTGCTGTGTTTGATGCACCCCAGGACAGGGTTTGCCCTCTCTGCTGCCAGGGCACGCTGCTGACTCGGATTGAGCCTGCTGCCGACCAGCACCCCCAGGTCCCTTTCTGCAGGGCTGCTCTCCAGCAACTCCTCTCCCAATTTATACTTGTGCCCAGTGTTACTCCATCCCAGGTGCAGAATCCAGCATTTGGACTTCCTAAATTCATCCTGTTAGCCATTGCCCAATGCTCCAATCCATCTAGATCTCTAGACCTCTGCAAGGCCTCTTGTCCCTCAAGAGTCAACAGCACCTCCCAGTTTGGTACCATCAGCAAACTGATTCAACTCCTGCATCCAGATCGTTGATAAATATATTGAACAGAACTGGCCCTAATATTGAGACCCGAGGAACACCACTGGTGACTGGTCACCAGCCAGATGTAGCCCCATTCACTACAACCCTTTGAGGTCTGCCCTTCAGCCAGTTCTCACCCAGCTCACCATGAACCCACTCATCCCACAGCTGGACAACTTGTCCAGAAGGATACTGTGAGGGACAGCACCAATAGCCTTGCTAAAATCCACAAGAACTACATCCATCGCCTTCCCTTCATCCACTGGGCGGGTGACCTTGTAGAAGGTTACCACATTATTTAAACAGGACTTTCCCTTTGTGAACCCATAATGACTGTGCCTGATGACTGCACTGTTCTTTAAATGCCTCCCAATAGCGACCAGTATAGTCTTCTCCACAATTTTCCCGGGAACTGAGGTTACACTAACAGGTCTGTAGTTCCCTGGGTCTTCCCTCACGCCCTTCTTGTAGACTGGAATAATGCTGGGTAGCTTCCAGTCAGCAGGGACCTCCCCAGACTGCCAAGACCTTCGGCAGATGATCAAGAGGGGTCCTGCCGTGCTCCTTCAATACCCTGGGGTGAATCCCATCAGGCCCCATGGACTTAGGAACATCCAGCTGTTGCAGCTGGTCCGTATAAGTCTACAAGCTCACTCCAGTTTTCAAAGACACCATGAAGCAGCGTAGTTTTCCCAGCAGAGGAAACTAATGTGGTACCACCTGAATGCTTGGAATGATGAGGAAGATTAACATCTTTATATAAAGTCCTGGAAGCCCAGGCTTAATTTTCCACTACTGTGTTTTGAAAGCCAAATACACTGTTGGACACACAATGCCATCTAAAGAGAGTAAGAGTGCCTGTTCAGCTTCCCTCCTAAAGGTCTAGATGAGTTAACACACAGCGCAGTTGCTGACTCAATACCCCTGTCTTTATCGTCCCCAACCCACGGAGCCACTCATCGTTACGGTGCTCATTCCACCACCCAAGGCAGCCCCTTCAGGACCTACTCAGTTAGGGAAATCAATTTGATCAAGAGTCTCATCAGAGAACACCCAGAGCTGCACTGGGCTTACTCGGAGTTGCGGACTGACCATCGTTCCTAACCCTCCTGCTCTGCACAGGCCCGTTGCTGCCATTCCGCTCGTGACTACGCTTTGGCAGCCCATTTCACAGTCAAACTCAGACAAGTTGCCTTGCTTTGAAGTGAAATAAATATTCAATCTATTCTTTTTAAGAAACACAGAGAACTGATGCACCACTTAGATTTAGTGTCCTAAGATAAGCTCCATCTGAATTAAAAGGTGATTCCCAGTTTGAATCAGAACCATTTTACTTAGCTTAGCAGGAAAACATCAAGACCCCAGGTCACAAGAGAGGAGACAGCACGGACTACAGACACAGCCCGATTCTTTTTTTATGCTAAAGCCTCTTTACTTTCCTGGATCAGTGTAAAAGGATTCGCAAAAATGTGGCCTGGATAGTCAAGCTATGGAAAAACCTTTCAGGTCCCTCTTTGTGGGTCCTGTTCTTGAAGATGGAGAATATCTTCCTTTCTGCCTTTCAAAGAAAAAAAAAACACCACAAAACCCTAAAAAAACCCCAGGGACTCTGCTCCTCCCCACACCCCCACTAGTAGAGGCACTGGGGAAGAACCTGTGACAGGTCCCAGGAGCAGCAAGACGATGCACTGGCGGGCAACACATAGGTGTTTCAAGCTTACCCTGCCCAGAGAAGAGGCCCAGAAGCAGTTTTTGCCACTCCCTGGCTGGTAGGGGAAGGATTGCCTACAAGGAAACCTGAAGTTACTACATTAGCTGAAGAATCAAAGCCAGAGCGGTATTTCCAAGCACATAAAAATAAAAGACAAATATTTCTGCCTTGTTTTAAGAAAAATCACACTGCAAAACCATTAAATAAATAAAACTTACCTAGTTCTTCCCTTTCCTTTAAAAGAAAACGGGACTGCAATTTGTGAAAGTACTGGAGACTCGGCCAGCGCACGCACATCCGCTCCGCCTCTCGCGCGCCAGCAAACGCAGCCCCCTTCCTCGGGGTGCTCCGATCGCGACGCCTTCCTGGTACGCAGCGCTTCGGTCTTCACACGTCCCCGCTCCTCCTCCAGCCACAATCACACGGGTTTAGACAAAAGGTGCATTCAAGTGCAAAGGACTGATATTTACTCAGGCCCAATCCTGTCAGCAATGTTAAGTTAAAAAGCGCGCCCACGGGGACCCCAGCGCGTTTTGGGGGTGCCACGGGCTCAGGCCTCCTCCCACGTGCTGCCGGGTACAACAAAGAGCTGTCGCTCACAGCAACCAGAGAGCTGGCGTTTGAGCGTGGGCCAAAGAAAAGGCGAGGGGGAAAAAAAAAGACATTAAGAAGGTGCTACACAAGGTACAAAACCCACCCTGAGGTAACTTGCAGCATATGAACAATGATATGGCAACAAACACGACTGCTGTCTCCGCTGGCTACACCAGAAGGAGTCGTAAGCTACGTTAAAATTAAGTTCAGCAGTAACCGAAGTCATTGTTAAAACAGATCAACCAAAATTCTTCTTAGAAACAGAAAGTCATGGGGTAAAGAAATCTGAATTTTCTAAACCAGTTTTTTTAATTGCTGACCATGGAAACACATAGTCATTTTTGCCAGGTGAAGTCAGCCTTAAGTCAAGTGGACGTGACAAGCTTCAAACAGACAAAAGCTGCACAACAAATGTCTTTATCAATTAACACTGGGTTAACACAGACTTGACTTGCGTTGAGGCTCCTGAAGAGATTTTACGGAAGAAAAAGGGAAACCCAAGCCACTTCAAGTTCGTCTGTAGTTTCAGGTAAACGCATCAGAAACAAACCGAAACCTGTAGCATTTGTCTCCTGCCTCCCACACGGATGCTCTCGCTCCTTCCTTGACATCCACGTATTACTGAGGGTGGCCCTTACCCTGGAACAATCGGACATCAGACTTGATTGTTGGAAAATCAACAACCAGTATTTGCACAGCTCTAAATGTTGCATCCTTACCGTCCACTAGTAAGTAAGCATTGCTATAGGCACTGGTGCTTCAAAGTTAGTAGGGTGGATGGAAATACAGCGTGTATATAAATACGAAAAGTACCCATATACATACATTTAGGCAAATCAACAGTGATGCCATGAATGGCCACTTCAGGGATGCCAGTCAGATCCGCTTTCTTCTTCTTAAATATATAAACAATGCATCAGACTAGAAGTGGGTCCATCAGCTGTCATACAGCAGAGCTGCAGTCGTGACCTAGGATATGGCTTATATTGTGGGCAGGTCGGTTCGAGGGCTGCTTGGAAGAATCTGACGCAGACGTGTTTGCAATGGAAAGCAAAGGCGACATCGCTGAACCATCTGGAGGAAGAGCTGTGGCGATTTCTGGAAACAAAGACGTCAAGTTAAAATTGGATAAGTGCGATGTGTTGGTCATGTGCATCGGTGGCATATCCGGAAGCAAAGGAAAACTCGGCTGAGCAAAACCAACAGGCCTGGGAGGAGACAAAATGGATCCAAATCGATTGTTTAAACTTCCACTACTCGGCTTCTCCGTGCTTGGGTTAGGAAACATTTGATTGGGAAAGTAAGGGATAGAGATGTCGTTGGAAAGGGTAGGATGGGCAGGGGAGTACGGAGGATAGAAGGATGGCAGCGTATTCTGGGGATCGACCGGGATTAGAGCTGGTGTCCGAGTGGCACTAGGCTGAGTGACTGGTGGGATGAAAGAGGTATTGGCATTTATCGGTGGATTCATGCCACCCTCCGGAATAAAAGGGAATCCAAAATTCTGAGAGAGGGTATGTTGGTCAGGGGCCGCGTTATCATTAGAGACTTGAGGGCCATCAGACATAAATCGGACAATGCTTCCTCTTTTTTCTATCGCAGACTGCTGGCGCCCGAGGATCATACTGCCGCTGGCGGAGAGCGGAAGATGGGGAAGACTAGGGTCAAAGACGTTTCCATGTCTTTGATTTCCAGATCGATTCCTTTCGGGCTGACGTATTTTAGAACCTCCACTATCTTGCAGAGGATGCCTCGACCGCTGAGTTACTGAGGAATTTGGCTGACGAACAGAAGGTTGTCCTTGCTCGCCATTTCCGTGAGAGACTGCAGGGTGAGGGTGAGTTGGCCTCACAACTCCGTGCATGTTGCTAGAAACAGGCGTATTCATGTGGCTCTTAGTTCCATGACTGTCCGTCATCCTCATGGGATTGGACTTCTGCACAGAGATGTTTGGGCTTGTATTGCGACCCTGAATATCTCCCGAGGAAGAAGAACTCGAAAAAGGAATACTCAAAGAACTGTTCCTTGTGTTAATCACACCAATTGCAGAAGACATGTCACAGCTCTCCCTACTCTGGCCATCACCATCTCTTCGGATGTGGACGCTCTCCCGTGCTGGGGGACAGCTGTACTCAATCGTGGAGGAGGCGCCACACTGCGTCGTCCTTTGATGTTCTGAGATGGATCTTTGGCTTCCACCAACTTGATCTCCACGGTGAGGTGCAAGTAAGCTCTGCATGAAACTTTGGTGGCACGTGTTCTCGTTTTCCCTTGCTGGCAGGGTATTTCCCGTTGGAATACTCTGCACTGGCTGGTAGGGCAATCTCTTCTGTCTTTCTAAGGACGGCCCCGTATTTTGACCGATTCGAAAAGCTTGCGACTGCATGCCCCTGAGGGATGACACAGAATTACCGATTTCGCTGTTTCTTGAAGCCTGTGCATCGAAACTGCCCGCTGGTTGTTGATTTGGTCCAGCTGGCTTAAATGTTTGACAGTCAGAAAGCCGCTGCACATCTGCGCCAACTGTATGGTCAACGGATAAGCGGCCCTGCATATTATGAACGACCAACCCTTTATTTCTAGAAACGTCAAGATAGCTTCTCATTTCAAGCTGGTCAGAAACCCTCGGGCCTTGAAGGGATATTCCTATTCTCTGTTCCGAATTAGAGGGCGTCTTCCCAATGAGTGCCTCAGCAGAGTAACTGGAAACTCTATTTCTTTCCTGCCTATGAGGGGTGCATGTCATATCTGATGGTCTGGTTACGATACTTGCCTGGGACACCATCTGCTGCTCTAAGCCCCTTGAGGTCATAAGTCTCTGCATCTGACTGTGCCCTGACACGTGTTCGGAAGCTGAACCTTGCTGTCTGCTGCTAACCTCTTGTTGCTGTTGATGCATAATATCCGGATTTATATGGCTCTGAGGGTGGTTATGATGGTTTCTGCTTGTTGCAGGATTTTCACAGTTCTTTTCAGGCTGGGAAGCTCCAAAGTGCTGCTGCATCTGCTGCTGCATTTGCTGGTGGTGAGGATGAGGCTGACCACCTTTCTGCCGCGTTTGGTCACTTCCGTGGTGTTTTTGCTGCAGGGAAAGTTGAGCGGCTTGTGTTCCCTGGATGAGATTTCGTTTCTTTTGCATCTGCACCTCCTGCTGTATTGTTCGCTGTTGGTGGACACCATGAGGTTGAGAGTGGACTGAGTTTTCCCCATGAGTGACATGGTGCTGCAGCTGATACAGGTGGTGCCTTTCTCTTAACTGACCAGCCTGCTGTTGCTTGAGGTATGGATGATTACTGTGAAGGTGAGATATGCCTTGAGCAGGAACATGCTGAATTGGCTGCAAGTGCTGCCCTGCCTGGCCTTGCTGCTCTGAAATTGGTGGCTGAGATCCGCACTGAACTTCCGTTTGTCTCAAAGCTGGTGTTACAAAGTTGCTGTTTGATGGGAACAACCTATTAAGGCCATCCACATGCCCTTGACTGCTCACTGATGCCACCGAATTGGACGAGTTAGGAGGCATCTGACTGACCAGCATTTGTGTTTGATCAGTGATGCTCTCCGGTGTCCGGTTCATCAAGGCCATCCCCTCCAGCCTTATGGGCGTTGTCTGGCACTGCTTTTGCCTCTTCGCCGTGGAAAGCAGAAGGTCATCCTGAACAGCCCGCTTGGCAGAGTCCTTGCGACCTTCATGACTTTGCTGCTTTAAGTGCGATTCCGGCAGCTGGGGAGCCTGCATGGTGCTTGCCCTGATAGCATTCAGTTGTTCCTGAGCATACTCACTCATCATGGCCGGTCCTGGAGACTGACTGATGTATGTGCTGGAGGGAACGGGGAGGCTCACAGTCGCAGGGACACTGGCTGGCTCTGAAGACTGGGATAAACTTGAGCAACTCACAAGGGGATGGACAATGCGGCTCTGGTGTATTAGATTATTCACGCTTAAACTGGTTATGCTTGGTGACTGGGAAGCAGAAATCTGCAAAGAAGTGTTTGATGTTTCCGCACCTCCCACAGAGCAGCTTGGCTTTTCAACCTGTCTGTCGACATTTGTCTGTGCTGTATCTTGAGCACTGAATTTGTTTGGTGCTGCTTCCAGTGGCCCTGCATTGTTTTCTTTCACTGGCTGAGGTTTAAAAGCCTGTTGCTCTCTCTCCAATGGTGCAACTTCATTCGACTTAGAGATGGCATCCCTCATGTTAACCTGTATTCCTCCTCCACCTTTCTCGAGGTTTTCCTGGTCAAAAATAGCTCTTGCTGCAAGAGCTACAATGTCAGTCTGTTCTGAAAACGTGCAGCTGTTACATGTACTGGTTGAGGTGCTGCTAGTAACGTCTTCTCTGGTGGTATCTGGCAACATAGAGGCAACTGAGAAGCCTCGACTGCTGCCAGAGCTAGTTGACATGGGGGAGTCTGCCTGCCTGCTAGCGATAAGGGAAGCACTGACTACTTCCTGGTCAGACATGCAGGAGTGATGCTGGGAGAGAGCATCGCCTTCCGTGTTCATCAGCAAGAGCTCCTGCTTCTCAGTTAAATCAACATTTGATTCGGCTGATTTAGAGTTTTCCATGGAAAAATCAGAATGCTCTCCCTGGATGGCAAATGAAGAGGTTTTTTCCACAGCTGTTCTTTCTTTTGTGAGATCAGACAGCATTCTGGTTAGACCCTGTCCTTCTAACAAGTCCGCATCTTGCATTACCACTGAGGAATCCTGCGCAATGTTGCAGGACTCCGAAACCGCTCCTGCCTTGGAAGTATGACCCGCTGTGCTGTTCTGCGCTGCTGATGTCCCAGCCACCTCAGAACGCGTCACGTGCGCTTCGGTAGAGGATGCTAAGGTGCTGGGGGGTTCGCAAGGCTTGGGAGACTCTGACACGGCAGAGCCGGCTGGTGGACGGCTCTGAGCCCCCCGGGCCTGCTGGCAAGGAGCAGCGTCTTTGGCAGTCGTCGGGACAGTCTCTTTGGAACGACAGTCAGGAACGCTGACGCCACTCGACGCTGCCACACCGCTCGCCTGCGACGTCGTTAAAGCTTGCGACGCTGCTGGAGCATTTTCAGGCAGCCCCTCGCCGTTCGAATGCTTTGCCACCACCGTTTCCACGGAGGCACAGCCCACCTTGCCTGCGTCTTTGCCAGGAACTACGGGGCAGGGCACTTTGCTACTGACTGCCTGGTGTTTCTTTGTGCTTGGCTTTTTGTTCGTCCTTTTTGATTTTGCATTAGAGGGCAAGCCAGCAGCTGCTTTTTTGGGGGAAGCATTTATTGAATTGGAGGCACTAGTTAATACTGAAACCTCCGCAGGTACAGAAGATGCCACAGAAGTTGGTAATGACACACAGCTAACTGTGGCAATCTGGTTATTGACAGTTGTGGGATTGGTAGGGTGGCTGAGGGACAAGTGTAAGCAGCTCTGCCCAGCCATTTGCGATATGCTTTGATTGAGGTTAGCCAAAGCACCAAACGTATTGAGGGCAACATTGGTATTTGGATCTTCGCTGGTCGTGGGTTGAATAATTTGCATAGGGGCTTGGTTTGAAGCTCCAGATGAAGACATCACAGGCTGCAATGCAAAAAGCTGCCCGTTTAATGAGATGGTTTGAGGATGCTGTGGATTGGACATTGTAACTGAAAACGTTTGTGTAGAGCTAGAGGATGGCAAAGAAGATGGTCTTGGTAATATATGGACAAGGTGTTTCCCTCCAAAAGTCTGTGGAAGAGAGGCATTTTGTATGGAGCTGCCGGAGTTTGTGACTGCAGTTGGCCCGTTCACGGGAACTCTTACAGAAGCAGAAGGCTGAGCAGAGAGGAGGGGAAGAGGATTCTGATTAGCAGCTTGTATAATTACAATTTGCTGACTAACATTTTGGCTGGGAACTTCCGCTCTCACAATGGGAGGGCACGGAGCAGGGTTTGGAGGCTGGAGAATGATGACATTCTGGTTAGCTGGTGCTCCTGTAACGGCTGATGCGACTGGCTGAGCCATCTGAATCACCTGCATAGCTGAATTTAATGGAAGGATATTTCCTGCAGCCTGAGTTTTAACCTGTGGCTGGCTGATTAACGGCTGCATAGGTAAGGGCGGGCATGAGGGCAAGGTAACTACAATCTGTTCAGCTGCCTGGCCATCCCCAGGCAGAGAAGTACTCAAACTGATGCTTGTAGTCAAAGGCTTGCTGTGAGCAGAAGACACAGTACCAGCACCATTAACTGGCTCGTTCAGTAGCGCGGTCATTATACCGGATGGCGCTTGGCTTAGTGGCTGAACAGTGTTTCCCGCTAGCTGCAAAGTTGTCCACGTGGTCTGTGTGTTTCCAGCTGAAGGCATCCGTGTAAGGCTACTCATGTTTTTCAAGTCTGAAGTTCCAACGCCTGAAGAGCCTGAAAAAGACCAGCAGTTCTCTAGGGGACTGGCGGGCAGAGTGCTTATTGCCGTGGCAGCCTTAAGTCCTTCTGCTGCAGAAGACACAGCAACTCCAGCACTACTTACCGAGTCTGTACTTTTGAGGACATTCACAGAAGAAAAACTATCTGCAGTAGACAGTCTCACAGATGGCACACAAGCTGTCTCCGTGGTTGAAATGACACAGCTTTCCTGAAGGTCACTCCTAGAATTGTGTGTATTTGAGCAAGTTGCAGTCACCTGTTGATCCCGGGTGGCTTCCGTGGAAGCACTGGAAGGAAGGCTGGTACCCTGCAGGAGCGTTTTCTTCATTAATTTAGTGCCCTCCTCATCATTTTTACTTTTGGGGAGATTTTGATCATTCTGTGGTGCATTCCTTGAAGAACACTGTAGTTCCTGTTCTGTTCCGGACTGAGCTGCAGTCTGCGAGCTGGCAGTAGCAGCAGCGAGCACGCCTCGCTCATTCTCCGGGGTGGAAAGCTCAAGAACATTCCCTGCTGGAGCTGCCTGAGCAGATGCCAGCGGAGGAACTGTGGCTTGTGACCATGGCTTGTTTTCTGTGGGGTAAATACCAGAAATTGTCACAGGAGTCACTATGTTGCAAGTTCTCTGGACTGGCACAACATTGGCTGTTTGCTTTTGTAAATTATGACTGACATTAAACGTTATTCCCTGGACAGATGCTCCCTGGTTATTTCCATTGGGTTGACTCCCATTGGAATAGACAATGATGTTCTTTTGAACCTGATCACCAGGAATAACAACTGAGACCTTTGCATTTTTGAGGTTGCCCTTCCAGTGGATTGTAGGGTCATCATACAGGCAAATATCATTTGCTTTCAGTAGTTCGATGTATCTCCCGTTTTCCTTTTGCAGTTCATCCAGCTGTTTCCGGAGTTTTTTTATCTCTTCAGCTACAAAACAGCAAGAGCACTCCATTACATCAGCACCAGCACAAATACCAGGTAACGTTACCATGTGACTTGCAGAGTAAATACTATGCCATATTGAAATAAATTGTTAATAATGTATGCTCTCTTCAAATGGCTAACATAACTGAAGACTCCTAGCCTGATAAGCCTCTCTGCTGAGCGGGAAAGTGAACGAACATCACAGACTATGCCGTTACCAATAGCAGGGTATGTCAAATTATTTAGTCACAAAAAACATCAGGATTAACTCAGATGAAACTGAACAATAATCAGGTTGCTGAATTACTGAAGGAAATAGGAGCGCATTAATTTATCTTTTTCTTTTCCCTGCTCCTTTGCAAACACTAAAACTGTTTTTATTTAGTTGATGAATCTCATGGCTTTCCACAACAACTAAGTTTCATTACATCTAAAAATGGTATGCAAAATGAAATAGAAGTCACAAAAACTGACTGCACTTGGAGACAGCTTAGCTAACTAGGAAAAGCACCTAGGTTTTTCAAACCCAATTACATCTACAAGATAAACTGTTTAGAATTCCATTCTATGGGTAGAAATAAAAATCACAAACCGCAACGTTAGCTCTGAGATTATTTCTGTCATACCTCCATCGCTGTACTTTTATGCATCTGTTGAAGAAGATTTTATATGATGCACAACATTTTTATAAACTAGGCTGTTAGCACTTTTATGGCATTTGAAAGGAAAAAAAATAGCTCTATGCATGAAGGAAACTCCATGTTTTCCATGAAAAAAATCTAGCTCTGAAGTTTGTCAGAAATTGTTCTGGTCACTACAGTAAGAACAAATCAGGATGGAATCTACTAGATGGTGTCACAGCACTTATGAGCTCTGTAATTACATCACAACGCGATTGCTTCATTATCTCACAGCTATGTACAACAACACGCACTTGGGCATTCTGTTGGCTTCTTGTTTCAAGGTATTCTAAGCAGCTGCATTTTTCCTGTATGTGCATAATGTCTTGGGACTCCCAAGTTTGTTGATCCAGGCTTTGTTGTTAGTCACTGCCAACAGACACGCAACGGAAGCGAGTGACAGAACTTCTAGAGCCTCCGGCACCTTCTGTACTTACCCTGTTCGTTATTCCCGCCGTTTAACAGAAGTTCATCATTCTGTCTTTTCATTTCTGTTATATACTTAAAGGCCTGATCCAGGATCATGTTCTTGCTCTTTAAAAGAAAACATATATATAAAATTATCAGAAAGGTCTATCGTTGGTAGATCCATTAATGATGAGATTGCACTTGCTCCAAGAGGCTTTACTTTAAAAATGTGCTAACTGAAACGACTGTCTGAATATGGCTGGGTGGGGGTTTTTTTGGTTTTGAGGTTGGGGGTTTTTTTCTGTGTTTTTTTTCTAGATGAATCACAGGTTTCATGAGTGATACTGACCCTAAAATGCCATGAGTTTCTACAGAATAACATTTTCAATGCTGGAGATGACATTTTCCGATGCCTGAAGCTAGATACTAAGGCCACAGAACCCAAACAGCAAGCATCATTTCTTGCTGAGCAGCCTAAAATTCGTGTTCACTAATAAACGTATATATCACATGAAATTTCCAGGATACTGCCTTGTAAATATTTTATTAGGAAAAGAAACAAACATAGAACAATTATCCAGGAAGGTGTATGCGTAATTTTGAAAGTAATATACTGGAGAATATGGGAAGAGAAAACATGCCACAGCTCCTCCACCATCTTCCCTTTATGAAACTACGCTTATCCTGCCTGTGAACCTCTTGTTCACTTCTTCATTTCTTCTTCTACTGTTCTGTAGGAACAGCCTCTGCTGTAGATTGCTCTGTCTTTAATAAGATGCTTCTGCGCACGAATCTCAAACCGTTTGTCTTGCTTCATCTTTCCTAAGGACAGTGTCTGAAATTACTATTATTATTTCAATTTCTGAATTGCTTTTGTTCCATTATATGAAAGATGACAAAAATAAGGATGCCTGCAATTCTATTTACATCTTAGGACATTAAATGGTTACCAGCAAAGGGCTGAGAAGGGATTGGAGAATGACCTGAAAAACGACCTTGCTTAACCCGCAGCTTTCAGCACTCGGGCATCATACAGACTGCATTAAACAGCATCAGTAGAAAATGCCTTGACAAACAGGAGTTGCACAACGTAATCAGCAACCCACTGGCCAGATCCAAACTACTTCTGTCTAGCCTGCCACCCCTCCTAAGAGGAAAGGGTGAACAGCTATCCATCCGCTCAACGCAACGGGGCAGGCAGCAGCCGAGGTAAGATTTTTACCTTCTGTTGTCACTAACACTCAGGCACCCTGAACAAGAACTTTGGGAAGCTGCGAATCCAACGCGCAGGCAGACATCAGCAAGCTGACCAAACTGCTACAGGCAAATTAGTCTAGCTTACACCTGCTCAGAAATACTGCACCTATGAATTGAGGAGAAAGTCACTCACATGTCCAGCTTGTACCGTTTCATTCCTTCAGCAGTCATACGCAACACCTTCAGATAAAAAGCTCAAAATCTGCATAATTACATTCATGTGGCACTTCACTTCCAAAAAGGAATTATACTACAAATAATTTTTTAAATACTAATAACTAGTAAGATTTTTGAGCATGTTAATTCAGATAGTTGTGCCTTCTTCCTAAGACAAATAGCAAAATAAATATTTATACTGCTACAGACAAGGAAACACACAGGCATTTTACAGGAAACTTGCACACATTTCTGAATGGACACTCACCTGCTTAAGTGCTGGAGAGCAGGGAATGAGTTCTCCAATTCTGTTTATCCCAGCATTAATCTTCTTCTTGCGATGTCTCTCCACTAAGGAAAAATAATGTGTGCTGTGTCATCTGGTTGGGCAAGTCAGCACAGCAACAGCACAACTAGTACCATTGTAAGGGCTCATAAATACATTATTTCGTGATGTATTGGAACCCTTAGTAACTTAAGAGAGGAAAAAAAAAATCCTCTAAAGTAAACCTCAGTTATCGAATTAATACTCAGTGGAATTAAGAGCTGGACATAAGCAGCAATATCTTTAAAAGGTGTGGATGTCCTGGACCCCTTTGTGGAAAAGAAGAGTTACTGCAGCTCAAAATTGAGGTTTTGATAACGCTTCCTAGCTGAGTTTTATGAAAGTCTTTTCACAAGGCAGACAGATTAGGCATACAGAAAATAAATGAACTAAGATTATGGAAGGAATGAGTTGCAGATTTAGGAGGGAAATCCAGGTCTCAAACCTTAATGTCAAGTTTAGCACCAAAAGAGAAATAATTTAGATTTTACCAGGTTTCAAACTTAATTTTAAATGTATGTTGATGGAGCAGCCAACACTGAATATAGCTGAAGCTCTAGGCATATGAACTATCAGTTACTCTTTTTTATGTTCCAAGGTATAACTGTTCCACAAGGTCTATATATGACCGGGAATAAAGAAAATATTTAATGACCAGTATTTCCAGTGAATCATCTGTTTTGTGGAAGGTCAGAAAACATTTCATTTATAGTCCTCTAGTGACATCATTTACCTCTTCACAAGGCCTAAACACTGACACAAACGGTCTACACTACAAGTCTAGCAGTGTAAACACCTTTGGGCATGGTTTTTTTCAGACAATATTAATCTCTCTGTTTTCCACCCACCATTGTCAGCTTCTTTCAAATATAGCTCAGTCTGGCGTAGCTGTTTTTGACTGAAACGTTTTGGTGCTCTATGCACATGAAAACTTTTTGATGCCTTTTTGCCCAAGAGCCTGAAAAAAAGTTCTGTCATGGCTTTGTCAAGATTCAAATCACCATATCGTCTGTTCATTGTACTGAGTATCACCTTGTGGTGCGCACAGCTGGGCTGCTTTTGGTGGCACACAGAAACACACAGTGATCCACAGGTGAGTATATTTTACTGTGCTTCTTTAAAAAGGACATACTGATTTAATTTAAGTGGTTTTATTTCAGTAGTCTGTTGCTTCAATTTACATTTTTCAAACTGCTAAATTATTTTTTCTATCTCAGGACAGACTGGTGGTGTCTCAGGACAGAGACAGGCCTAAATACACTAAGCACACCAAGACAAAGTCTCTTCTGCAACAAATGTAGTATATAAATCAGAGCAGCCATATAAACATTAAAACACATAACCCTTGGGACTTAATTTTTATATATCCTACTAACACATACAGATATCACAGTGGCTGTGAAGTGCTATTCCTTTGTTTTGATAATTGTTTCCACGCTCTACTCAGCTTGTCCAGATATTAATGACTAAGCAAGCTACAGGGCTGGAGGGAGCCGGTCCCCACATCTTGCAGAGTTCAGGCCAGTAGATGAAGACTTTGGAAAGCTATTGGCAAGTCAAACAGGAATTGAGAATTAGAACAAGGCTGGCAATCTTAAAAGTAAACTTGATAAGACTATTTCCTGCTACTTCTCAATCCCTAAGCAATTGGCCACATCCTGGGCACAGCCCAAAAGGCAGTATGATCCACAGCCTTCACATGGACAGTAGTCAGTGTTTTTTCCAGTTGAGTTTGTGAAGACCACACAATAGCGCTGTTTAATAACAGAAGAACTGGAAACAAACTCTTAGGATAAACCAGGCCAAAACCTGTCAGACCCTTCCCCAGTCCATCTTTCTGCTGCTACTTGTAGAAGTTGCCATTGGAGTTAAGACACCAACTAGCCATTGCCCAAGGAATGCGACTCCTGCAGCATACAGCCACTATTCACACAGAATTTCTGGGACACCAACATCCATGTGGGTGCCTCAGGGACAGGCTACAGGAATATTTCTAATCCAGGGAACCTCTAAAGCTCTCAGGTCAGATATCCATCTCTATTTTAGAGGTGGGTATTATTTCTGTATGAATGCCTGCTCATTTATTTTCCTTTAGAACTGAACACAACTGAAATTGTTTACTTCATGGTTTACCAGTATTGGAAAGCCAGGGGCATGGTCCTACTTTCATACTTGGGTGTGCTACTGTAACCTTGTACTGTGGAAAACAGCAAACTAGACACCAATCAAGAAGCTCTTCTGCACAGATATTCTATGCAAAAGCACAGAAAGTTGTCTGGTAAGGTGTGTTTTTTAGTGTAATGAACTCCTACGGAGGAACCTTCTCAATGCAAAATGTTTCAACAGTTCAAAGCATCTGTGCTTATTTCCAGGCCAAACAACAAAGCATAATGTTCCTACCTGCATTATGTGTCTCCCGGTTTTTCTTTCTATGAAACATAAAGGGAAAACAGTAATGTGAAACAGAAGGGAAAAAAATCTGCATACAAACAAATGTTTCTTTTATTATTTCCATTACAGCTAAAAATACTAAATATTATGTTCTGCTCCGTCAACAAGAATGTAGCAGAAGTGACATTCAAAGGACTGGTCTTAGACATCAGTATTAAATAGTGTCTAACAAAAATTCATTTGTTTTCAGACTTAACTCCATTTCAGTATAACAAAGCACAGTGCAATACTCCATATTTGATTATTGTTACATATTTATAGGGCAGAGCTGGATTTTTATGTTTCTGTTCAGCAACAACTATTACACTATCCAGTGTTCATTAAGGCCAAACAAAAAGAACTAATTTCTGAGCTACAAGGTAGTTCAGTATTTGTTTGAATTCTTGCTTTTACATTCACTGAATCAATGAAACAGGAGAAAATGTTACCGTGCAAATTGATTTTTCCAGACATGTTACCTTCAAACATCACACCTCCCAGTATCAAACATGCTTCCTTTGTGTGAGAACCAGAATTACCATTCCTCTTCAGTTGTTGTTTTTTACTGCCTCAAAATTCTGTCTAGGTACAACTTGGCTACATGCAGGTTGTCTTTGTTTTCAGATGTGCACCTGGGATTTCTGGACCGATGGCAGCCAGGTCAGAACCATTGTGCAATACCTCAAATTGCTTTGCTGGAAATCAATAAAACCCAAATGTGTACTCTACATATATAAATCAGATGTACTGTATACACGGCAGTAAGCCAAATACTTTCAGGAAGGACAGTAAAGCAAAACATGTGTTTTCTGGAAAAATAAATATTTCAGGAAAAAAAAAAATCTTTCAAGACATTTCTGTCCAGCAGTGCACTCTGAGTCTGGATGTTTGGTTAAAGTAAGCAAAAATCTGCTCTCCTTTTCCACTGTAACAGCACAGTCCAAATGTAACAAGGAATCTGAAGTGAGAACGCAAGATACACGTGGATGACACGTGCGATTACTACGGGGCATGTATGCTTTATGCTTTGAGTGGATATACATTTATTTCTGGTAACTCACCAAAAGTAGTGTGCATCTAGAATAACTCAATGATTACAAGACAGTAATGTTACTGCAGATGGTCAGACCTGGAGACATTTGCCAAGAAAGAATGTCTAAAGATGAACACCTTCAAGTTAAATAAATGCCAATTGCAGCCTGCACATCTGTTCTACAACTACTCAAGAAGCAATGAATCTCCTGTTCATTGAAAACTTGCACCACCAGAACAGGAATGCACATAAACTATCATTTTAAATAGTTTCTTATTTCATAGTAAACTTCAGCTCTCTCACTTATATCCAAAACAACCATCTGTCAGTCCGAATTTATAATACATCTAAATATGTACAAGAATATAAGGGCTGGAGAGACCCAGCTGCCCTTTGATTCCCATTATCAATCAGAATCCAAAATACTCTATTAGTGGGGTAAGAAACAAAATTTATGAAAAGAATTCAGTGGGACAAATCAACGTTCTTTCTGAGCTTTTCTTGTAAAAAATCATATCCTACAAGGCCAGCTAGCATAAGATGGGTGCTGTATTTAACTAGGGACTTAAGGATTCCCCTACCAATCACCAATCAGGTATTAGATCAACATGCTCCTACAAAGGAAGGAAAACCTGGAGAAGCTGTAACGCGTCACTTTGTTACAAATTTTGTCATAGTGTTGCTGTTCAACCTCAAGACGTATTTTGAGTTCCAGCAGAGATTTGAGATGTAAGATCCAGATTACACTGGGCGTTGAGGAAGAGATTAAATTACTGTGGCAAAATGAGTACAGTGACCCCCAGTATGTAAAGGAGTCTCTGCAAGAATACAGGCTGCACTCCAACTGAGGTGGCGACAGTTTCATACACGTCGGAGTAGTCAGTGCAATATTCAAAGAATCTCCGTTGCCTACGAGGCCCAGGTGGACATGTCTTTGACAAATAATTTTGCACAGACAGGAGAAGAGAGAAAGGGAGTTTTGCAGCCATAGTTCCCAAACTTTTGGAGCAACCCAGGTCAACCCTCAGAACTTCTTGTCAATACCCTTATTGCCAAGCTTTTAGCTAGACACTTCGTAACCGCGACATGAGCACAGACTACAAAACTACAAAATAGTCATTTTCCCCCAAACACTCACCGATGTTGCTTCTTAGTAGGTGTCTCATTCTCTGTCATCTCTGGCATGGTTTCAGAGAAGAGAGCCTGAAGAAAATTATGGAAGGAATTAACAACTCCTCCAGTCTTCTGAATTCTTAGCACACATCATTTGTTACATCATTTTGCCTTTGACCACAGGGACAGGGCCATACTGCAGCGTATGCAGAAGGTCCATCACCTTGATGTAGAGCAGCTTGGTCACATGAGCATCAAAAATGAAGAACGTTACCTAGCAGGGTGCTTTGTGAACCCCCGCTGTCTATGATGAACTGGTTTCCATTTCCTCAGTTTTCCAACTATAATCCCAACTACTTTAAGGAAGCAAGAAGGAAAATTAAAGTATGTGATTGTTTTTTGAATGGGAAGAGGTACAGATAAACTCTCTTTCATCAGCCCTTCCTAACTGAATATACATTCAATTCCCTGCTCTAAATAAATCATGAATGCTAAGCAAAATACAAGCTACAATGAAGACATTTTATTAAATACAAATTTAGAGTACTATTAATGTAGCTAACTGAAACACTTCTTTGCTACTGAATTAATGTACAGGTTAAAACAGCCAAAAATGACACCCTATGTTCTTAGATATATAAAATTCAGTTTAAAATAAAGTTATGAAATAAAGTTATACATAACAGCCTAATAAATTGCACCTAACTTGTCCTCAGCTTGAACACATCAGTAGCCTGTATTTAGACAAACAAAAACATTATGAAAAAAACAAAAGATGGTATTAAGTCAATGATGGTCAAACATGCATCTACCAGAGGAATGAATTTTAGAGAGCAAGTAACATGAAGTATACTGTAGATGACAAAAGGAAAAAAAGAATTTTTTTATAAGGCTGAGCTCTGTATTTAGTTTCATGCTTTTGCTCGTTCTCTCACCAACCAACCTGTTATTGCACCTCTTCCCATAGGCCCTCAGACTCCTCCTGGCTTCACCTCTCCCTGGCTCCTCCTGGAAAGCTCATTGGCTTCTTTAAACAGGCTTCATAGCTTTAGGGTATTTTTTTGTTTGTTTGTTTGTACTGTAAGGAAGTGGGGGTGGTTTTTAATATAACTTTCAACACCAAGCAGTTCTTAATGTAAACCAAGCCTACCATTATTAACACTGACAGCAAAACCAAGAAAAACAAATATTCTTACGAACCAGCAAGCCAGCCACCTATAGAGCTCCCAAAGCACTGAAGCATGCACTTTGGAAAGGGCCTCTGTGTATGTGTGCGTAAAGTTACCACAAATCATCTTTATTGTGCCAGAACTCAGATGTTGTTCTCCAGTCTCTATATTCTAAAAGGTTAATTGAATGTAGTGCTCTCGTTCAGCAAAGATTAACTGAGGAGAAACATTAGAGCTGACACTGTTGACCACTCCAGCCCTTCTTTAACTACTGTCTCTGTTCCTGTGAAGACACGCAAAATGTTGGCAAACCACGAAGTAAAGCAAACAGGTGACATTCTGCAAGCAGATCCAATCTGGGGAACTTAAAAGTGCCTGAAGTTTTCAGGAACCTAATCCAACTCCTCCACCTACACAACAGCGTTCACACCACCACAAAATTCGACACAAGCCTCCATGATGAGTTACAGCGTTGCGCCGCTCCGCTGGGCGTTACATGCAGCCTACCTGAAACACAATCACCACAGACTTTCCTAGCCCATCAACTGGAGCACGTCACTTTCTATTTCTTGTCAGGCTTTGCTTTCTCCATTCTCACTTACCATGCTCGGCATAAATTATGAAAAAAATTGACAGTCTTTTACTGTGGGAGAAAGTAGTGGTGCAACTTCAGCACCTTCATTCACTCTCTTATAAATTACCTTGTGTTACTTCATCTTAAAAAAATATCTCTTCTCCTTTACATCCATTTAGCTTAATTCACTAACAATTTTGTATTTGTTTACGTGTAGTAAGACTAATTCAGTTGGTACCTCAGGTCCTCCAAGTCAGTGAAAATTCTCAACTCTGAAAGCCAGAAAAGCCAGCTTCCCACCCACAGCATTTACAGCTTCTATCCCTCCTGTGCATAGCTGGTGATGGTCAGCAGTGCTTACTCACTTATTCTAGCTGCATTCATCTTATTCGGTGTGGCTGGACTGAATGATGAGGGGTTCAGCTGGGAGAATTTAGCAGGTGTGCAATTCTGATTATAAAAAAAAAGTAAATCCAGTTAGAGCCCAGGCATCTTTTACTCTGCTGGCAACCAGCAAGATGTTCACACATACACTGAGAGATGGAGGCCAGCACACCTTGTTCCAGTGGGATTTTTTCAGTTATGTCAAAGCAGCCCAGCAGAATCTATATCCATTAAGGCTACCAGCAAGGACACGAGAAGCAGAGCAGCTAGCCGGTAACGCTACACTCTTGTACATCCATCATCAAGACAATACCTTGTATATCAGGTAAAATAGCTACTCAAGGGGACAAAGGGGTCATTTAACTTAGCGTATACAGCTCTGTTTCTGTGTAGTGGGGTAAGGATGTGAGCATAAAGTATGTGGACATAGTTCTGGTACAGCAAAGCACACAAACGTTATGCTTAGGAACAGGAAGATGCTGGACCGCATCGTGTGGCAGTCACGTACCCTGTTTCGTTACTTTTCTGCACCACCTATAAGGACAGAGTTGATGTATCTGTCACTGGGCATTACTAGAGCAGGGCAAGTATGCTGGAAATCAAAGCAAAAAGATGAAAGACTTCTCAGTTTTGGTGAACTCAGCTTTTCTGAAAAACTAACGTATTCACCAAGCAGCCATATTTTTTTAATCTTGCAAGTTTATACAACTTCAGAACTAAAAGACTACTTCTGTATTACAGTGTATTTAATACAGAAAGCCTTAATGTGAATTTAGATGGCCAGTTACCATGCAAGGCTACAGATGACACAAGGTGTCAAGGTGAGTGGTGTGAGAAAGCACCCACCCACAAATACCCTCCCCCAGAACAGACGCAGCGGTTCTGACCCCACCTGCTCCCCCTGCACACAGCCCACATCACACCCACAACCCCATCTTCCCGTTGCCCCAGTCAGAGCACCCACTTCTCCCTCCTGACCCGGGCTCTCCATACATGTGTATTTCAAGCTGCTTCTGCCCAGGGTCTCTGCCCCCTTAGCTCAATTCTTACTCCTAATAGCAGCATCCCTATCTCCCAAAGTCACGATCTACACGGTAGAGCCCTAGTCCAGATGCCTTGCGTGATTCAGCAATACATTGTGATAGAGGGGATTGTAAGAAACATGAAACTGTAACAAAAAGGCCTTAATATTTTCTAGTTTTTAGTAGTCTTTGGTACTGTAACTTGTATTTCTGCATGCATAGTGATCTAACGATGTAACTGTTACACTAATCCCTGTTTTCTCATTAAGGAATGTAGTGGAAGGACATGGGCACAAGCTATCACTTAGTCGTTAAAATAATCAAGTGAAACAAAAGTGGTCTTGGTTCTCAGCAAATAATTGGGATAATTGTGGGATAAAAGAGACTCCTAAATAATTCTACTCCAGACAGCTCGGCCTTGGGAGGGCAAATGCGCCAAGCTACAGAAATAAGGAGGCACCAAGAGAGCAACACGACCGGAGCCAAACAACCTGAAGGACACGATATACGTGATCCTAGAACTGGGTTTGCGCAGAAACAAATGTCAATCAGTGAACAGAGTGATGAAGAGGATGGGCCTTCATCTTGGGACCCCCGAAGACCACCCTGCTGAACAGTATACATTGTACTGTTAGCTTTTTCCTACCGGATCTTCCAATCAATTGTGTAGTCTTTGGGCAGACAGGCAAGGCCTTAGTGGAAGTTTGTGCTGAAATTTACTAAGGCAGCTTGTAACCACTTTTTGATCCTGAGAAAACAGAAAGTCCTTATTACAAAGTGTCAAAGACTCCAGTTTCTTTCTTCCTCCCTTGCCCTTTTTTTTTTAAAAAATTACATCCAAGCGTTGCCATTCCCTTCACATTTCAAGCCAGATGTCACTCAACATACACTGAGTGTATAAGCTTCACAAACTACCAAACATAAACAACATTAGATTTGTCTTTGATATACTTCAGTTCTGCTGGGATCTACAGCCTGTTTCGTACAGAAAACAGGGCATAGGACTGCAATTAATATTATTCTAACTTCACTTTACTGTCAAATTTCTTTAAGTCAGAAGCTTATTGAAGTTTATCATTCAATCAGTGTTTCCGCAGAAGTTTCAAAGCAGTTTTGTAGGAGCGATAAGAAAAAAATCAAGGCTGTACACATTATCTAATCAACAAGTTAGTTTATTTCAGGTTCTGACTTTCTACCTGAAAATAGGTGGTTAAGTTTATTAAACAGCAGTGGTATACAACTCTGAGGTTTCCATTGCTAGATTGTACCATAAGAAACACAGTGAACTGTTTTGGGTTTTTTTTCCCTATTCTTATTCTGTAAGGACAAAAACCTTTGCATTTTACTTGATACGCCTCAAAACGGAGCTGGCAGCATCAGGAAGGTGGTATTCTTAAGAGCTGCTGAAAATATGAGTTCTGCGAATTAAAAAAACAACCACAAACAAAACAACTGCCTGGGTGGACACTTCTGCAGGCTGACGAGTAATGTTTATACCGGCTCTCTCTCTTCCTAGCAGCTGTTGCATCACCAGAGCTCTGACAATGGGTTTCTCTTTACTCATTCCATCTCAAGTAATACTTCTTCACAGAGAGATTCCTTCACTGATTCTCTAAAGCAGAAGATGTGTGTTTGCTTTATAAACTCACAGGCAAATGTGTTTTAAGTTCATTCATGAAATATGCTCACTCAACTCAGCTGAATGCCTTCTGCAAAGAGAACATAGTAAATTCCAAATTCTTTAGCCAGATGAAGGAGAAGCAATTCAGTATTTATATTTATTTAGTACCAAGGTTCCCCTGAGCTTTATGTAGTTTACAGCTCTTACAATATCAACCTGAAATATCAAATTTCATTTAAATGCAGTGTCATCCCCAGAAATGAAAAGATATTTTGTGTTCTGGAGATTTAAAAGTTTAATGTAATTTAATTTCC